TTCAGAGAAAATAGCTTATCCCCAGGCTCTTTTGCATCCTTGTGACAATTCTTGCTATGGAAAAGACCAAGGTAGGTGTAGACCATCTGGGCATGTGCAGTCTTTGATTCTGATACCTTTAGCAGTTATGTCCACAGACGCTTGAGTGGGTGAGAAAATCTAGGATCCCTACACTCCCAACTTGGCAGTGTAAAAAAATTACCAGATTCACAGATAAACAGGAGTGCTTTAGGTGAACAGCTAATTATCATGCAACCTTGGATTTACAATTACTAATTTATGCCATAAACATTTAGCTTTATAAAACTATAAGCAATACTCTCAGGGCCATACTTCCAGGCAGACCATTCCCACTCAGTGAAGTCCAGATTGTTTCTGAACAGAAGGGGCCAGCATCACACCCACCTCAGCAGACTACCAGGCTGCCTGCATTTCTTTGGGCTGGGTTTTGCTTCTGTTGGCTTCTCTAACACAGCAATAAAAACTCCTCTAATGTGCCCTGGTCTTTGTGAAAATGGTTTTACAGTAAATGCTTGGTAGAGAGAAAAGCAGCCATCACACCCAAAGTTGCTAAGAACTCCTGTACCTGCTCAAGTATAGGGCTGAAGAAATCCATTAAGCCAGGATAGAGGAGCTGTCTTTCTGATGCTATAAAGAAGCTGCCTGCAAATGGAATCATGACTGTGAAATTGCAGTATGATGTTATATAACTTCTTAAAACAGCCATCCTGATTTCTCTTCATGGGACCAAACCTCCTTTCTAATTTCATTTGAGCCTTATTATTTTCTATCTTCAAACAGAAAAAAAAGCTTTTAAGCAAAAATTACAATGCTATGGCAGAGTAGTATGAATAGCACCACTACCCACCTGGTTTAATTTCTTTTTTCTGCTTGCATCTCTTCAAATTTTCCACTCTTGACTCATCAATGTGGAAATTCTAAGGAACCCGAAGAAAAACAGAGTTTAGAGCCAGTCATACTCTGCATTGTAAAACAGAACAATCTTTTGGGAAAATAAGTTAACAATACCTGAGAACATATTAAGCATGCACATCCTCTGAGTCAACCCAATGTTCCAGAATTTATATCATGGATTATATTCACATAGGTGAAAGGACAGTCAGGGAAACATTGTGCAGCCTCAAAAAATGGGGGAATGACATAAACATCTGTTAACAGGCAATGAGTGAGGGGCTGGTGAGATGGCTCAGTGGTCTAAAGCACCTACTTAGAACAAGTTTAGCAAAAACACATGGACCGCGGTTCAATCCCCAGCACCACATGCCA